CCCGGGGCCCCAGCCCCACCTGCGCCTCCAGCAGCTGGAGGTCGCGCTCGAAGTCGCTGTGCATGCGGTGGAAAGCCTCCACCGTGCCGGCGTCCTCGCCCAGGTCCTGGGGCAGCTCCTGGCGCCGGGCGGCGATGAGGGCCAGCAGCTCGGCGCCATCGTAGAAGTACTTGTGCAGGTCGTAAGAGGCGGCGAGGAGCTGCATGCGGGTGTCGATCAGCTCCAGGAGGTCGGCCCAGCTCTCGTTCAGCCCGTCCTTCCACTCGGCCATGGTGGCCGCCTCCATGTGCCCCGCATCAATGAGGTCCTCAATTGTCAGGTTCACCCGGTCCACGCGTTCCTGCCCCACGCTGCCCGTCTCCCGCGCAAACTCCCGAAACTTCTCCCGCAGGAGCTGCGTGGGGGAGAGAAGAGTTGAGTTCACCCCCCCCTCCACCCCAAACCCGCTTGCCGGCACCACCACGCCCACCCCGGTGCCGGTGTCCTCACCGTGACGTGGTCCAGGTCCTGCCCCATCTCCTGGGAGGAGGCGACCACGTCGCGCTCGGCGATCCACTGCTCCAGGTCCTCCACCTCCCGCTTCAGCTGGAAGAGGTGGGACATGTTCTCCAGGCGCCGGCGGCGCTCCTCGGCCGCCTCCTTCAGCCCGGCGTAGTGCTTGTCCACCTGGCCCTGCAGCCGGATGATCTGCTCCCTGCGCGGCCCCGGCACACAGACACCCCAGTTCTCACCCGGGAAAAGATGCCTCCAACCCATCCGTGTTGCCAGCTATGGGTTTTTTTTGGGGGAGGAACCCACTCGGTGCTCCCCGTGTCCCTTTGCCACCACGTCCCTGCCGCAGCTGGGGCAAGGCCACCCAGCTGGAGTGAGGCGCCAGGGCAGCCAACGCCACCAGAGCTGCAGCCAAACCACCCACCACCCCGATGCTGAGGGCACGGGGCCACCCTGAGGGACAGGGGACACACGGTGGTGGCACCTACCCCTCAGGGTGGCCGGCGGAGAGCAGCTGCTGAGCCCTCCCCGCTAGCTCCTTGATGGTTTGGCCATAGTCCTCGATGGACCGCTGCTGCCGCACGTGTCTCTTCAGCATCACCAAACAGCTCTCCTCGTCCTGTGGCACGGCAGACACCAGCGCCCATCAGCACCCAGCACAGCCATGGGACGGGGACCGGTGTCCAGCCCCGGCGCCCACCCTATGGGCATGTCCTGCCTCCACCCGATGCGGTGGGGAGCAATGGTGAGCTCAGTGGGGCACGGCATGGCATGGCACGGCGTGGCGTGGCCAGAATGGCACGGGGTGGTGTGTAATGGCACGGCGTGGCATGGGAATCACGGCACGTAATGGCACACCATGGGATGGATTGCAATGGCCAAGCACGGCATGGCATAGGATGACCTGTAGTGGCACGGCATGCCATGTAATGACAAGGTGTGGCATGGGATGACCTCGAATGGCGTGGCATAGGGTGGCATGGCACGGCACATAACGGCACGGCATGCCATCGCATGGGGTAGCGTGTAACGGCATGGCACAGAATGACACAACATGGCGTGGGCCGGACAGTGTGGTATAGCACAGCATGACGTGGCGTCTAATAGCATGGCATGTCATGCCGTAGGATGGATGCCATGTAATAACGGCACAGCATGGCACGGGATGGATGGCGTGTAACGGCATGACACAGCGTGGTACAGGATGATGTTTAGCAAAGATGCTGGGAGGGCTGGAGCCCCTCTGCTGGGAGGAGAGGCTGGGAGAGTTGGGGGGGTTCAGCTGGAGAAGAGAAGGCTCCGGGGAGACCTTATTGTGGCCTTCCAGTCCCTAAAGGGGCTCCAGGAGAGCTGGGGAGGGACTTTTTACAAGGGCATGTGGTGATAGGATGAGGGGGAATGGCTTCAAACCAGAAGAAGGGAGATTTAGATGAGATATCAGGAGGAAATGTTTCCCTGTGAGGGCAGTGAGCCCCTGGCACAGGTTGCCCCGAGAAGCTGTGGCTGCCCCATCCCTGGAGGTGTTCAAGGCCAGGTTGGACGGGGCTTGGAGCAACCTGGGCTGGCGGGAGGTGTCCATTCCCATGTCAGAGGGTTGGAATGAGATGATCTTTAAGGTCCCTTCCAACCCAAACCATTCTGCGATTCTATGTTTAACTGCACGGCACGCTGCAGGTTGACATAGAAAGTCCCATCATGGCACAGAGCGCCCACCAACTCATGGGGACACCACACAGAGCCACCCCTCACCTTTGGCTTCTCCTCAGCTCCCATGAAGAGCTCCTGCTCGCTGACCCAGGCTTCGGCCTCGCCGGCGTCCAGGTAGTACTGCTGTGCCTCACCGGCCTCCCGTAGGCGCCGGTGCCGGGCGGCCGCCT